GGGATTGCTTCCGGAGGTGACATTTAAGCTGAGTCCTTAAAGATGGGAAGCAATTTGCCAGGAAAAGAGGACAGTTAGAGCAAAGACAGGGAGGCAGAAGCAACAAAAAGTGTGCCTAAGAACAACAGGCCATGTGGGGTTCCTGAAGCAAAAATCTCCAGCGCTGGAGAGGCCAACAGAGGTCAGGACACCATGGGCCTGTCGTGCCACACTGGGGAGCCTGCCACTAAGGGCTGAGTCTTTTACATAACTCTGCATGGTGGCTGGCAGGGTGCATGCCCTCCTCAGCACGCAGTAGGTATTATTAGATGATGATCATGAAAGGCAAATCTGAGAAACCGCAAAAGTCTGAGCAGAGCCAAAATCCCTTATGTTCTGAGGCTCCAGAAAGTTATCTGACTCCTCTGCCCCTTTGCAAATTCAGCTGAGATGTGCTGCCATGGTGGTAAGTCATCAACCCTGAGGTGCTGCCTCCTTGGCAGTTGGCTAGCCCTCTAGGCTTGTACATATGGTAGAGGATAGTAAGGGGAGAGGATGGGGAGAGAGTAGGGGAGACAGAGAAGAATGACAGAGCCGGGAGGCAGGAAGACAAACAGCCACAGGAAGATGGGGGCTCAGATTGAAGGATAGATCCAGAAGATGATTTCTGGGGTGGAGGGGAGGACATGCCCTCCTCCCAGCACACTCTGCCAATCCTTAACAACCAGGCCACAAAGCTGAGTGTCCAGGCCACCTTCCCTCCCCAAGGAGGGGCTGCAGGGAGTGGAGCATGGTGTTCCATGTGAACTTAGGCTGGGATTCAGACACATGTGGACAACCAGTGGGCTGGCCCCAGTGGAAGTCTATTTGCTTGAGGGCTGAGGAGCCTCCATCCTGAAGGAAAAGGGAACCGAACCTGATGAGCTTGTCCCATGAACAAAGACTGAATATATGCTACAGGCAGGGAATCTGAAAATAAAATCCAAATGAATAAATCACCAGGGGACAAGTAGTACCGGTCAGACATTCCTTTAACAAGTATAACTATGAGGAAGGGCCTGAGATACGCGTTCCTTCTTTGAAACAGAACACAAAGCAGCTTTCAGTCCTTGAGGGCTTCAGGTCATGAGTTGTGGCGAGAAATGTCATATGCATGGCTGCCAGGGGGAGGCGGCAGGCTGATGGACAGGATGGTCCACACAGATGCCCTGCAGTGATCCCAGGCAGGAGCAGTCACGTACTCACAAACATATGTGAGACATGCTCTGGGAACTCCACAAATAACTTGGGGACAATTTATAGTGGGGTGAGATCCCTCCACATGAGCTGGTAGAGGCAAAAACTGGGGAAATTTGGATCATGACGCTAATGGAGTCCCACTTACATGGGTGAGACCTGGAGGAGTTGAGTTCCACTAGGAAAGAACAAAGTATGGATTCGTCCACGGACCAGCTAGCAAGACAGCACCTGACTTCTCCCGGCAGAACCTTTGTTCTGGTCAAAGTTTCTCTCTTGAATCCTCCCACTTGTAGCAAGTTTTATGAGCCCTCAGTACCTCTTTTGCTCAGCTCAAGGGCAGGGGTTCTTCTTAAACCACCCCCCTGCACATGCCCACGTCATACCCATCAAATCTGCCGAGCAAACCCGACCCTGAAACACCGGACGTAGGCACACAGGTGCCTGTCTGAGCAAGAGGAAGGGGGAGGCAAAGGGAGGCGGCCAGACTCCTGTGCCAAAGGAGCTCAAAGAAAGCCTGAGACAGAAGATATAAAGACACTAAACACAAATGGTTATTTTATTTTCTACCTTACAGTTTTCTGTATTTTCCAAATTATCTATAGAAAAAGGCAAGTACTACTTTTTTAAAACCAATGTGAAAAATACAAATAAACACAGCTTTTCACAGTCAAGATGAGTTTTATGTGCTTTCCTTTATGGTCACTCTGAGGTGCTTGAGCTTTATTATGTAATAAATAAGAGTCCTAGAAAGCCACCTGCTTGGTATTACAGAAGTGGTTCCACTGTGTAGGTAATGTGCCAAATTCGACCGATCTATACTGGGTGGTACCCCACTCAGGGACAAAGACCCTGTCATGGAAGGAGACAGACATTCACACTGTTTCCCACTCACCTCCACCAACTCTTGGCTCATCCAAAGAGAGTGATTGACAACCCCAAAGGCTGCTGGGCAACTATTTGAAAGAGGGGTCCACAGAGAGGCCTCCTCCACCTGTTACTCTTTTCTCTATCACTTCACATCCATAGGGGTCCCTAAGCCCCAAGAGAAGGGTCAAGTGCAAATCTGGTAAACCAAGAAGCCCTAGCAGTTGTCAACTTAATTAGCCTTCAGGAGAAATATATGGATATATGAGCACAGTGGAGTTGCTATAGAGACAGACCCAGGAGGCGCATTTAGAACAGGGCCTCATCACATCACCCGATAAAAATAAGACTCAGGCTTTTTAATAGAATGAATTACTTAAGTTTTATATTTAACAGGGACGATACCAGGGCTATTACTGGTTTTCAGAATATTTTAGGAATCTAGACTGCCTGCTTCGGCATATGTTTGCAGCCATCACCACATATGCTCTGGTGGCCAGGAATTAAGAACTGGAAGCCCACATGTCTCTCTCCCACCCCTTGAGATGGGAGAGGGTCCTTCTCACTTTGGGCTTGTCCTCCCTTAACTGGGTGAGAGATTTTCAAAGTGTTTAAGATAAAGGACCGGGGGAGAGCTATAGAGTGCTTTGCACAGGGCCATTTGCATATATTATTGCTAATTTCTATCACAGTCTTATGAAGTAATGATCTCATTTTGCAGATGAAAATAATGAGGCTCAGAGAGGTTCAAAATTTTTGCAAGGTCACACAGTTCATAAATAGTGGAGTCGGGATTCAAATTCAGGTGTCCTCCATTCAAAAGCCCATTGCCTTATAAGACACCACCCACAATCTCTGCACACAAAAGAATCTGGGATGAGGTGAATCTAAATAGATTTACCATTTTTACTGATGTCTCATATGGATCTTGTTATAGTTCAATCTCTCCTCTGAGGCAGTCCCAAAGTGGATGGGTCCCAAGAATCATCCCACAGTGATGATGATGAGCACCTCTCCAAGTATCCAAGGCAAGTGTTCATTTCAGACTGACTTCTTACCATCCAGCATGCTTCTGGGATGCCTCTTCCCTATGTCAGCACAACAAGCATAATTAATACAATATTCCAAATTGAACATAATTCAAAGGGCTTCTTCACTGCTCTTGCATACATGAAAACTTAAATATATGAAATCAAGTGAAGGTCATTTTTGTGTCTTTAGATTATTCATGATTCTCCTACTTTGCAGAGATTTTTTTGTACGATTTTCCAACAGAGGCCTACACAGTAGACTCAATCTGTGCCCACAGGTGCCATTCATTGTTTTGGGAAACCAGGTTGCTGGTGATGGTAAGGCTGGACATAAGGCAGTGGAGGTGCCAGGGAGGGGCAAGATGGTTGGGAAGTGGCAGGGTGGGGGGAGGGCTGATGATGAGGGGATCCTAAGCGGAAGTACATGTGTCCCTCCCCATTCATTTTACCAGCAGAGGATAATGGCAGAAGATGTCAGGGCTTCAGGGGATCTGAGAGAACATATCAAGGGCAAAACTAAGATGCATGGCCTCACAGAAATTCTAACCAAAGCATCAGTCCAAATGCACAGGGCAGAAAGGCAGAAGGCAGGTAGAAGTACAGACCAAAGGCTTGACCCAGACCAGGGCAGGAGGCTTGGAAGCAGAGGGGAGGGAATGATGTCTCAGAAGAGTCCCTAAGCAGAGGGACTCATCCTAGGAGCCTTCTCCAGGCTGCCTGTAACCTCCAGCCTGTGTGGGGAGGTGAGTCATTTTGTGTTATTGAAATAATCCTATGATGAATGAGCTCAATAGATCTGTGGGCCAGCCTGGTCATCTATCTTCTACTATAGGCAATCATGTGGCGGGGCTGGGGAACGGGGTGCGGGGGGCCTGGGGTAAAAGCAAAGGCTTTGGATAGGTCACTTGTTAGCTATGGTAACTCAGACCAGTCACTTAAGTTTTCTATACCTTAGCTTTTGTCTCTATAAAATAGGAATACTATCAGTCAGATGCTAAGGATGAGCCCAAGTAGGAAAATGGCCAGTGGGCTATGTCAAGGGCCAGCATGACTCCCCCCTCATTGGTTGGTGAATGCCATGGCCAGAACAGCAAGCAGAAGTCTGACCCTAGCCCTCTCTTCCTCGACAATCCTAAAGCTCCTTGGACCACCTCCGCACCCCCAACCACCAAATCTCTGTTCTCTCCTGTTAAAAGGGCTCAGTCTTGCAGTGTCCCCCAAGCTTACCTTCTCATGAGCTACCATGAGCTCTTTCCATGAAAAAGTCTCTAGGGTAGCTTAAAGGCCACAGTCATCACCTGCCACCAAGCTTTCCCTATCCCTGTCTTTACCCTTTGCCCTCTAAATAAGGAAGCCAGCAGCACTGCCAGGCCAAGAACTTTTGCCCAGTTTGGGTTCTGGGTGGCCTCTTGCCTCCCTCTTCCCCTGGGCCCCCAGCCAAATCCTCCCTCCCTCAGAGATGCTCTCTGCTCACTTCATTCCTGCCTCATAGCTGGAATGACAGTGGCTCCCAGAATCCCTGGGGTGGGGAGGGTGATGGGGGTCTGGGGAGGCAGCCAGGCCCAGGAGCAGGTTAATGTTACAGCCCTGGATAAGTGAGCTGGTCCAGTTGACGTCAGGGTGATGATGGGTGGAGGGGAGGGCCAGGCTGCTGAACTATAAAGATAGGTCAAATCAAATATAATCAACTCGAGACGGAGCAAGCGGACGAGCTAGACACCGTCCCCAAGCCATGGTCCCTACCAACCACGGCTCAGCCTGGGTCCCTCTGCTCCCAACCCGAGTGCCCAAAGCAGGCTTTGGTTTCATGTCAGCAGCCTTCATCTGCCTTCCAAAAATAAGCCCCTGCCGCCATGCTGAGGGGAGAAAAACAAGAAGGGCGGTATTTTTAGGGCCATTAATTCTGACCACGTGCCTGAGAGGCAAGGTGGATGGCCCTGGGACAGAGGCTGTTCATCACTATGTCCCGGGGAGCAGGACGTCTTCAGGGCACGCTGTGGGCTCTCGTCTTCCTAGGCGTCCTAGTGGGCATGGTGGTGCCCTCACCTGCAGGCACCCGCGCCAACAGCACGCTGCTGGACTCCAGGGGCTGGGGCACCCTGCTGTCAAGGTCTCGAGCTGGGCTAGCTGGAGAGATTGCTGGGGTGAATTGGGAGAGTGGCTATTTGGTGGGGATCAAGCGGCAGAGGAGGCTCTACTGCAACGTGGGCATCGGCTTTCACCTCCAGGTGCCCCCCGACGGCCGGATCAGCGGGACCCACGAGGAGAACCCCTACAGTGAGTGCCAGCTGCAGCAGTTGGGAAGCTGGGGGCTTGGGTTCAAGCAGGGCTAAAAGATGATGGGGACTTGCTCTGGTGCATGGGGTCCTATTATAAAGGGGAGAGAAGTGTTATTCCCTACTTGGATGCTCATAAGCATGGCCACCTCCCCCAGACTCACTTGGACCGTGCCTAGTTGCAGGTTTACTACGCTGAGGTCCAAGCATTCGGGTGTCCTTTGCCATCACCCCACAGAGCCCAGGTGGCACTAATTACTTCAGCATTACAGGCACGTCTGTGGCCATTTAAGACCACCGGAACCATCAGCCGGGAAGCCATAAGGCAAGGGTGGTGAGAGTAAGTGAAGGGATTAGGACCAGATTAGACCCAAGCTGATTTTTACTTAGATTCCCTCTTTGAGAAGGAAAGGCAAGTGATTTGCAAAATTTCCTGTTGAAGCACATCTTTCTTTTTTATTCCAACCTGCCCTTTTTGTCCCCAGGCTCCTTGTCCTACAAGTTGATGGGTTGCTGCATAGATAGACTCCCCCATCCAAGAGGGGACAGGGGCTGCAGGATCCAAGCAAGCCATCAGCTTCCGTGTGGCTGCAATGTTTCCAAGTTCAGATAAGCTGAGATTTGTTGAAACATGTGGAGTATCTACTTTATTAAAAAACTAATCAACATTCATTTTTCTACCCCAGGCAAAGACCTCATGTGGTTAAGTCAGTGAAAGCTAATCTGTAGCTATGCTGTAAGCTTTGGCTCTGGTGTCAGAACCCCCCCCCTTGCAGAACTGGATCTTTGACAGTATGGTGGCAGGACTGGCCGAGTCCAAAGTGAGATCAGGGATAGAGGTGATAAGGGTCTGGCTTTCTAGGAGCAAGGGACGGGCTTAGATGCCCTTGTGGCATCATCTCTAGATCAATGTCCCACTCTGCTCTGCACAAGCCTTGGGTAACGTGCCCCCCCCCCCATTTCTTTGTCAGGCCTGCTGGAGATTTCCACAGTGGAGCGGGGTGTGGTGAGTCTCTTTGGAGTGAAAAGTGCCCTCTTCGTTGCCATGAACAGTAAAGGGAGATTATACACAACGGTGAGTCCGTTGGGCCGGGGGAGCTCCAGGCTGTGTGACGGCTGCCGCTTACACAGTTGAAAATACTATAAAAGCTTGAGTAGAGAAGTGCATATCTGTCTAGAGCAGGAAGTGCCCATGCCAGTAACAGGCCTGGAAGTTCACGCTTTGCTTGCTTCACAGTTAATTTGCTTCTGCTCTGGACCATGTTTTTCCTGACCCTTCCGGCCTTTGTAATTAAATAGGAATCATAGCTCAGGAGGCTACTGGTTCTGCAGGAGACCTGGACCCTGGCATAAAGTTGTCATCCAGGCTTACGGTCGGGTTTGATCCCCTGAACTGGAGAGGCCCAGAAAAGCAAGCCTGTCTTTCAGCTTGGGGTGCTGTTCCCTATGACCCTCCCCCACCCCAAGAGGTACCGCCTAGAGTGCAGCATACCTTCAACAGGGTGTTGAAATTTGACATTAAGGTTTTGAGTCCTCTGACCCCTGATCCCAAAGGCTGGAGAAGCATCCTCCTAATCCACCCTCTGGGCTGACACCCCATCTCGAGTGCCCTCCCCCTCACAGATCACCCCTGGGAGGGTGAATATGAGCCCTTTGGTTAACCTAGCCAACTTCTAAGCATATTTACCAAAATCTCTGCTCTCTTTGACCCTCTCTGTCTTGGGGCTCTCCTCCTATGATTCAGCTTATTCCAAAATATGGGCTGGGAAAACATCCCTATGAAGTTGAAGAAACTGGGAGTTCTTTTGAGAGAAATAAGAAGGCTAAAAAGGTAGATCTCTGAGCAATTGTCAAGGAATACTAGAGTTATTTATGGGAAGGGCGTGGAGTGCTGTTCTACCTCTCCTTGGAGACAGAGTGAGCATCAGGAAGTAAGCAGAGAGATCTGGGATGGGGCCGGGCTCCGGGGAGATTATCCCAAAGGGGGTGCTCAGGTGGCCTTTTCCCCCATAACCTTTAGTGCTGCTACTAAGTCTGGGTTGGTTTGCATGGAGACAAGGCATGGATTAAAAGTGGGCGTCTGAAGTAAGAGGAATAGCTGGAGGGTAGGTGGTGCCAGGAGCCAGAACTCGGGCCCCAGTCTGTACACCAAGCATACAGTAAAGTTTGCAAAGTCTGTAAGCCTGCGGAGCCCAGAGGCAGGTCCACACACAGCCCTGACTGGATATGAGAACTTGGAAACCCCGTTGTCCTCTCTGTAAAGGGTGGATGAGGATCACATGCACCTCCCAGGGGTTGCGGGGGGGCGGGTAATGCTTGGAAAGCACTCCTCAGGGTGCCCGACAAACACTAGGTGCTCAATATGAGTTGGCTATTATATTAGCTAAGGAGGCGAGGCACCCTGCCATGAAGTTCTGCACCCCTCTTTCCTAGAGGTGAGGCATGTAAGAGGATCTTCTGCATCCACGGCATCTTGGTAACCTGTTCAAAGTAAAGATTTCAGGGACCTGCATCAGAGATGCTTATTCAGCAGGGCTGGGATGCGGGCCTAAAACTTGGTTTGTTTTTTGTTTTTGAATCTTCTCTGGTGTTTCTGAGGCACAGGCAGGCGCAGAGACCACCAGGCTACATGGCCTTGGGAGGGTTGGGCAGTTGAAATCCAGCATGAGGCTTGGAATTCCTGGACACCCTTTTTCTCAGATACCAGTCTGCACAAAGGTGATGGAGAAGAGGGGAGGCCACCTGGGACCAGTGTAGGTTTGGGTGCAGCAGGGCTCCTTCCTGTGGAGTCAGTCATCCCAAAAAACCCCTTCTGACCAGCCTGCACAGTACCTGGGACCCCACTGATTGGAGAGCCAGGAACAGGGGTTGTTGGCTGTGACTCTGTCTGCAAGGGACCACTTAGCAGGTAGAGCTCCGGGAAGGAAGCCTAGATGACAGAAACCCTTCTATAGTATTGCTTTCTCCTTACCCAGAAGGATGTTCAACTCTGAGGCAGGGAAAGGGCATAAATACAGGAACATTGATCCACTTCCCACTTGAAATGTGTGGCCCTGGTAAGAGAACTTATATGAGATTCCAAACTCAGAGCTTTAATCACCATCAGAGAAAGCACTGCAGGGGAGCCTGGGTGGCTTAGTCCGTTAAGTGTCCAACTCTCGATCTCAGCTCAGGTCTTGATCTCAGGGTCGTGGGTTCAAGCCCGGCATTGAAAAAAAGAGAAAAGGAAAGGAAAGAAAGAAAACATTTAGAAAGCACTGCAAAGGGATAAAGCATTGAGTAGGGAAAGGGAAGGAGCCACCCCTGAAGTGTGGGCTGACTCTCGATGTAGGAGACCCGCCCCCAGGGCCCATTACTTCAAAAGAGGTCAAGTGGGCCCATGAGAGGGAGGGTTCACTAAATGAACAAGTCCAGGGGAAGAGGGGGGTCTGTCCTGAGGAAAGACCTGTTCACTACGCACACTCCACCCTCCCTTTCCAAACACTAGAAGCATTATGTCCAGGAGCACCTTGTCTGAGATGGGAGCTTGTCCTCCTTGGAGCCCAGGGCCAGGGTACCGAGAGCGGGGCTGGAGGAGGGTGGCTGGCTGAACTGTGCCCCAGGCTTGGACACTGATGCTTTGTGTGGCTGTGCACCAGATTCTGCTGAACCACCTCTACCCCCTCCTGCTGCCCCTCAGGGGCCTGTTATCACAGTCTAAAAAAACAATTGCCAACTGATCCCCGGAGCCAGGAAGACTCCCGCTGGGTGATGATTTCATTCACACTATTTCCCTTAAGCCCCTAGAGCTGCCTCATCTCCCTCGGCTCAGCTGCTACAGCCTGGAGCTAAATGAAATTTCTCATGGAGGGGGAGGGGACCCATACTGGGGCTGGGGACAGGGGACGGCTCATGGTCAGATAATAAGAACCCAGAAAAGCCACCCAGGAAAAGTGGCCTCCTACATGTCTCACCTCCAGGAAAGAGGGGTGCAGAGCCTCATGGCAGGATGCCCCTCCCCGGCTTAGACAATATAAATAGCCACCCCATATTGAGCACCTACTGTTTGTCAGGCACCCTGTGGAGTGCTTTCAAAGCATTACCCCCAGCATCCCTGGGAGGTGCGTGTGATCTTTATCCTCCCTTTACAGACGGGACATGGGGTCTTTAAGTTAGCACAATCACAGCTGTGTGCAGACCTGCCTCAGGGTTCTGCAGGTAATACACAGAAAGCCCACAGGGGGAGCACCTGGGCTGTAGACTGGGACCCGAGTTCTAGCCTCTGCCCCACCTACCCTCCACTACTCTCTCATCTGGGGCAAAATCACTGACCTTCTCTGGGCCTGGACCTCTGCTTCCTGGGTGTAGCCAGAGGCAGAAATCAGTGAATTCCAATCTCCTTCATCGTTTTAACAGTAAAATTGAAAAAAATCAAGGATCTCCACCTGACAATGTTCTATGAGAATCCTTTGGCCGAGAAAAATGTATACTGACAAGCTAGTAGGAATTGAGTTATGCTTTGAGGTGATTTTAGTTTTACTCATAGTAACTGTGTCTACATCCTTTTCATCAATAGTAGTATGACAAGGTGCAAAACACAGTATTTGTTCCATCCATCAAGGCCTTTGAATATTCTCTCGGGCATTACTTTGGGAGAGGGGAGGACCAAGCCATGCCCTCACTCAGCAGCAAAGCTCAGAGAACAGATTCCTAAGGAGACATGTTGGCTCCGAGGGGAAGGA